AAGTGCTCTTCATAATAGTGGAACTTGGGAATTGGTCTCGTTATCGTCTGGGAAATCTGTTGTTGGTTGCAGGTGGATGTTTGCTATCAAAGTTGGACCTGATGGTACTATTGATCGCCTCAAAGCTCGTCTTGTGACCAAAGGTTATACTCAAATTTTTGGGTTGGATTATGGAGATACCTTTTCCCCTGTGGCAAAGATGACTTCTATTCGTTTATTTATCGCCATGGTCGCTCTTCAACAATGGCCTCTTTATCAACTAGATGTTAAAAATGCTTTCCTCAATGGTGATTTGCAAGAAGAAATCTATATGGAGCAACCTCTTGGGTTTGTTGCTCAGGGGGAGTCTTCTGGGATGATATGTCGTCTTCGCAAATCCCTATATGGCCTAAAATAGTCTCCTAGGGCCTGGTTTGGAAAGTTTAGCAAGGTTGTTCAACAATTTGATATGACTCGGTGTGAAGCAGATCACTCTGTCTTTTATCGACACTCAAGTGCTGGATGTGTTTACTTGATAGTATATGTTGATGACATCGTTCTTACAGGTAGTGACAATCATGGCATCTCTCAGTTGAAACAACATCTCTGTCACCATTTTCAGACCAAAGATCTTGGCAAACTTAGATATTTCTTGGGTATTGAGGTGGCACAGTCCAGTGATGGTATTGTTATATCTCAGAGGAAGTATGTCATGGATATTTTGGAGGAAACTGGGTTGATGAATTCAAAGTCTGTTGATACGCCCATGGATCCCAATACTAAACTTCTACCAAATCAGGGGGAGCTTATACCTGATCCTGAGCAGTATAGAAGATTGGTTGGAAAATTGAATTATCTTACAGTTACTCGTCCTGACATTTCTTTTGCAGTTAGTGTGGTAAGTCAATTTCTTAATTCCCTATGTGAAGATCATTGGAATGCAGTCATTCGTATCTTAAAGTATATTAAAGGATCTCCTGGAAAATTATTGTTATATGATTCTAATAACCATACAAGAGTTGTTTGCTACTCAGATGCTGATTGGGCAGGATTTCCTTCGGATAGAAGATCTACATCTAGATATTGTGTCTCCATTGGTGGTAACTTGGTCTCATGGAAAAGTAAGAAACAAAGTATTGTGGCAAGATCTAGTGCAGAAGCAGAATATAGAGCTATGACCTCAGCTGCTTGTGAACTTGTTTGGCTCAAGCAATTGCTTAGAGAGTTACAATTTGGAGATGTCACTCAAATGTCACTTGTGTGTGACAATCAGGCTGCTCTTCATATTAGTTCTAATCATGTCTTTCATGAGATGACCAAACATATTGAGATTGACTGTCATTTCATTCGAGAAAAGATTATGTCTGGAGACATCAAGACTGAGTTTGTTAACTCAAGTGATCAGTTAGCAGATATTTTTACTAAATCTTTACGGGGTTCTAGAATTGATTATATTTGTAACAAGCTTGACACATACGATTTGTATGCTCCAGCTTGAGGGGGAGTGTTAGATATTGTTTAGATATTATTTGATATTGTTAAGATATTGTTAGATATTGTTAACCACAATATCAAACAATATCTTCTGTTTATTCTGTTACTTTTAGTTACTCTTTTAGTTGTATCTCTCTACTATAAATAGACTACCCTATGTGTGATTTATACATAAGGGAGATTAATCTCAAACTCTATTTCTTCTATATTCAACAGAATCACTTATTCATTTATTTTAAAAATTTATTTCACATTAATTTATTTAAAAATGTTACATTAGTGTTTTAAATATTTAAATTTTGATTTTTTTAATTTATAAAATTAAATTATTATCATAAATTAAGAATAATACACTTAATATCAATCTATTATTCTTAAATATATTTACTTGATTTGTAAAATTATTTTTTATTTTGAAAAATACAAAATATAAATTTATTAATTTTATTTCAATATAAAAAAATAATAAATTTTAAAGAATTTATTATCTTTCCTTATTTATTTTGTTTATTTATTTTTAGAAATTATTTGATTAAACAATTGTATAAATTTAAGCAACTTATCATGTCATATTCTTTTAATATTTTAATAAAAAAATTATATATGTAAAATCAATAATAAATGGTTTAAAATTTATATTTTATTTCAAGATAAAAGCAATTTGTTTCTGATGATACCCTTAATTAATATATATTTATAAAATAATGAATAACGAATTAGTTATAATGAATAGTGATATTAAAAACACGTTCTACTAATTAATATATTTCCATCATAACGTGTGATCATATTTATCAAAAACTGTAATTAAAATATATTTTATCTAAAATTGTTTATTTTACTCGTTATTAATGATAATAATTATAATCACATATGAAACATAGACTCATATAAGAGAATTTAGTTGGATTAAGATCTCATTTTTCTCCTCTTTGAATTTTAAATAACAAAAAATATTTTCTTAATTCATTATAAAATCTCTCTCTCTCTCTCTCTCTCTCTCTCTATATATATATATATATATATATATATATATATATATATATATATATATATATATATATATATTTGTAATGTAATACATTTAAAAATTAATCATATTTTATTATAAGATGCATAATTATTACGAGGATATATGTGACCAAGGATATATAGTTGCAATCTATTTGGTCAAGTTATGAATTCAAAACATTGGTGTAATATTTTTAACTTTTTATTACGATAAATATGATATAAAGAAACTTTTGTTAAAACACATACAAATTTATTTGTTTTATTTGTATAGAAAGAACATAGAAATTTAGGAATTAATATCATAAATAATATATATTTAAAAAGAAAAACTACTTAAATAAAAAAATTCAGGTTTATTTATCCAGTGTTTACTGTTCAAACACAAAATTTAATAATAATAAAAAAAATTTGTCTGGCATAATACAAAGTTTTCCTCTTTTTCTTCATTTATTTTCTTATTTTTCTCTTTCTTCGTTTACTTGCAATTTTTTTTCTCTCCTCTCTCACTCCATCCTATTCTTTATTTAAAGACAGGAGATTAAAATTTGATAACATAACTATTTTATTATTACTAAAAATAAAATATTTAAATAATCTAGAAATACTATAATTTAATATATTATGTTTTGAAAAAAAAATATTATAAGATAAATTTGAGATGTTACAAATATTACTATTTTATTATAATTATTAAGAAAAGAATTTAAAATTTATTTTAAATTTTTTTAATAAATATTTTTTAAATTATCTATTCTAATTAATTATCATAACTCAAAATTATTATAACTAGATGTAATTATTAAATAAAAAATATATTTAATTTATAAAAATTTAATATTTTTTAATTAGATGAGTAATTATTTGTTATGATAAAATAATTTTAAATTAATTATTTACGTCATCATAATTTTAAATAATTAGTTAATAGTTTTTTAGTTTCAATATTTTTTTAAATATTTGTTTTAACATATTTTTATTAAATTTTAGTATTGTAGTTCAATTAGGAGAAAGAAACAAAAGATAAAATAAGATAAAATAAAAGTACAAAAATTTATGAAGAGAGAAAAAAATTACATACAATAAAAAAGTCTATTGAGGTAAATAAATTCATTTAAATTCTATTTAAGTAAATAAATTCATTTAAATTTTATTTAAGTAAATAAATTCGTATAGATTATATTTGAATTTTTTTTAAAATATATTATTTTTAGGATTCATTCAAAATTTAATTTATTTTTAATAAATTTTGATACACGACCGTTAACTTCAACGTTAATGATTAGATACACATCCATTTATTTAAAATTTGTGTACATGATGCTAAATCAATATTAATTAGCTTAATTAACAATGGGATATATAGCTTCGGAAAAAAAAGAAACGGATATATAAATATGTGTTGTAGAGGAAATCTTTTACTTTATCATTTAATTGTGTCATTTTAAGTATGAAATATTTTTTAACTCAAATATTATTTTATTTATATAATTGATGTTTACAAAGTGTTAAATTTGTATTAATGGAAAATTTAATTAATAAAGCTGCAATGAGATAAAAATATATAATTTGTATGAATACATGACATTTTTCATACAGGAAATAATAACAATAAAAGTATTTTAAAATACACTACATATATTAAGTGAATTGGAGACTGTTATTAAACATGATCAAAATGTTAGAAAATATTTACGAATAATATAATTTTCTATTATGTAAAAAGTGATATAATTTGACATATGAACTATAAAATTTAACATTCAAATAGAATTAATTAATATTATTTTTTATTGTTTTAATTAAAATGATTTACTATATTTTTTTGGATTCTTTTACTATTTATTCGGTTCTTAACTATACTTTATTTATAATTTAACTGTAATTTTTTTAATTTAAGCTTAAATTAGTATGACTAGAATATAATTTTCTTATAATTAAAATCTCATTTACTATTTCTTTATTCTGATTCAAATTAATGAAGAGTAAATAGAGAAGAAATTATTAATAAAAGTAAATATAAACTAATTAAAATGAAAAAGTACAAAGATTTATCATTTTCACTAATTTTTTAATAATTTTGAATATAAATATTTATGCAAGACTATAAGACATGACACATTATATTTATACTAAAAATTATAACAATTTTTTCCCCTTTTCCTCTCGTATCATTGTCAAATTTCAAAATTATTGAAAAAAAAAATAACAATTAAATGTTGAAATCACAAATACATTATTATAAAAAGAAAAAATAAATAATATATATAATGAATTGATATAAGATGTAAAAATAAAATTTAAATAAGATTATCTCATAATAACCTTAATTATGTATTTTTATAAAATAAAAAATTGGCGAATTTCACTATTAGCCACCCTTGCATGGTGTGACCGCTAAGAACGCTACCCCGTTAACCAACACACAACAGAAAGAAAGAGAGCATCTCTTTCGTTTATGCATTCATTTGTTTTCGTCATCTTCAATCCAAACCCTATCCAATTCCAATTCTCCCATGAATTCCTTTCGCGGATCCCAACATCGCACCAAACCTGCTCCAATTCCCCGCCAACATGCATCCTCCGACGACCAACAAATGCCTCCGCCCTCCACCCCACCAGCCTTCCGCTTCCGCTCCCTATCCACCTGCAGCTACAACCGTCCCTCCGCCTCCCGCGCCGTACAGCGATGCGCCTCAGCCCGCTTCACTCGCCAGCACACCACCTCACGCGGCGAGGTCATGCTCAATGACGTCGTCGGGAATGGCATCTCTGGCATCCTCCACAAGTGGGTGAACTACGGCCGTGGGTGGCGCCCCCGCTGGTTCGTCCTCCATGACGGCGTGCTCTCCTACTACAAGATCCATGGCGCCGACAAGCTCATCCTCAACCGTGACGTCGAGAATGGCTCCATGGTCATCGGCGAGGAGTCCCTCCGCCGCATCAACAGCCACCGCCACTGCCCCTCCCGCAATCGCAAACCCGTCAGCGAGATCCATATTATGGTTCGTTATTTATCTTTCTCCCTCTTTAACGCGTAAAATAGTTGTCGGAACTTTGACTCTAATGGTTAGGGTTAAGATAATTCGTAAAGGTTGATTTATTACATATATTAACTATAATTAATATTTAATTTCATTTTATCATCATCCTGTGGCAATCAACTTTAATAATCTGAATTTGGTATTTGCGGGTTTGATTTGATTTTCCGTTTAATATTTTTAAAATTAAATGTAAAAGTTAATTTGATTTGAATTTAATAAAATTCAAAAGCATCAAATTAATATTTGCTTGTCGGTTTATATCAATTTTGTTTTTTTATTACTACTAAATTATAACATGATTTTTTGAAAAATTATTAATATTTTATTATATATAATTATTTTATGATAAAAAATATAATTATTTTATGGTAAAAACTATAATTATTTTATTATAAAAAAATTATAATTATTATCATATTTATAATTTTAAATTTATTTCGAATTTATGAATAAAATTACATAGTTTTATAAATAAAAATTATAGTACAAATTTATTTTCATTGATTAATACAAATAATTATAAATCAAATATAATTAAATCACTATAAATAAAATTTATAGTACAAATTTATTATCATTGATTAATACAAATAATTATAAATCAAATATAATTAAATCACTATAAATAAAATTTACAGTACTAATTTATTATCATTTATTAATACAAATAATTATAAATCAAATATAATTAAATCACGATAAATATATCCATATGTTTTTAATTATTATTCTAAATATACAATATTATGTTTAAATACAATAATTGATTTTATTCTATTGACTATTTTTAATCCAAAATTTGATTAAACTGATGCATGAAAAAGTAAATTTCATTTTTTTAAATAATTTATTTTCTTTGATTTAATCTGTTTTTGTTTTTTTTATTCAATTTGTAATAATCAAGTTTGAAATATGAAAATATTTGTTAAGAGAGGTTGATTTTTTTACTAATAATATTTTAATTTAATAACAATATTCATTAAATTATATTTTAAAGATATAACATTATATATAAAAATTATCTGGTTTAAAAACCAAATTTATGAATTGATAAAGTAGCTCTCTATATATTTTTTTATTATTGAATCGGAATTAGTTTAGGTTCACTTTTAGTATAAATCCCCATTACTATAGTTTTTTTTTTAGAAAATTATATAAAAGGGACCTGTCTAATTTATTCTAAGTGAAATTGAGATAATCCCATTAAAAAAATGGTTTAATTATCTTCTGTATTTTAAGATAATTTGGTTGCAGATATTAATTCCGTCAATTATTTTAGATGGAATTATTTAACATTATTTTTACTAGGCATAAGTTCAGAGAAACTCGTACAAATATTTAAAAAATATACAGACGTTTTGTTAAGTATTTTATTAACAAAAATAGGCTTTTTTGTGTTTTTTTACACCCAATACTCCATAATTTAGTTCAATTGTTTATAAGATAAATAGATTAATAGGGTAATTTTAATCAAATTGAAAATAAAAAAATTATATTAACATATTTATATCAAAATAATTAGTTAAAAATATTTAAATAAAAATAAAAAATAAAAATTATATTTTTAAAATTTAAATTATATTATTAAAATTTAAATTATATTATTAAAATTAATTTTTATTTTAGATATAATAATTTAATATATAAATTAAAAAATAATAGATTCATTCCATCTTAAAATAAGAATTTATAATTTACTTTTATTATTATTATTTATTATATTTTTTTCATAATTTATTAATCTAAAATAATAATTCATCCTAATTATTAAATTTTTGCATAAATAAAAATTAGAGACTTAATTTATATTTATTTTTAAAATTATATATATATATATATATTAATAAAATAATATATTTTTTTATTTTTATTTAAAAATAATTATTATTTTATAAAATAAAGACTCATAAGGTTTAACATGATTTAAATAGTTTAGAAAGTCATGATTTAAACAAGTTGACAGATCTTATAAATTTTGTTAAGCTTAATCAAGTGTACTTTTGTTTCATGGAGCTGAAACTTCTAAAAAAAACAAGAAAAAAAATATATGATGAATTTAGCTTTTTACAGCAATCTAGACACAAATTATACATTGAAAAAGTTAGATATCTGAAAATTATTTATTCTTTTCTTTATTTAACGACTTAAGCTTTAGAGACCGTGTTGCCAGTGTTCTACTAATAAATGTGAAGTTAATAATTCTTCAGTGGATCAATAGTGTTACCCAATTTTGTTTATAGCATAGAAGCTGAAATTATATATTTATAGGTGTGTTCGGTGCGAGAGAACACGACAGATAACAGGAGGTTTTCTGTGTGTACGGGGACGAAGAAGAGGCTGCACTTGAGGGCGGAGAGTAAGGAAGATAGAGCGACGTGGGTGGAGGCAATAATGGCAGTGAAGGACATGTATCCTCGCTTGCCCAATGCAGAAGTTATGTCACCCGTGGCATCAGTGGCTATTTCCACAAACAAGTTGAGAGAGAGGCTTGCAGAAGAGGGTGTGAGTGAAGCTACTATAAGGGAATGTGAGGAAATCATGAGATTCGAGTTCTCACAGTTGCAGAAGCAAATTGTTGTTCTCAAGCAGAAACATTTGCTACTAATGGAAACATCACGCCAGTTAGAGGTTACTTACTCACTTCATTGTGTTAGTGTGAATTAACCAAAGCATATTGTATAATGATGTTCATTCGTTTATATATATATATAGGCAGAGAAAGTTGATTTGGAGAACACACTTATCGAAGACCAAAGGCAATCAAAGCATGAAGCAGATTCCCATCCATCAATGCATGAAAAATATAGTGGTACGCGTGCATGGAATTCAATATATTATGTCCTAGAGCTCTTGTTCACTGAAATAATCGGGAAAGTGCATGTAGAACTTCATCGTTATTCATATAATCTGTTTTTCTGCTTCCTTCTCATCAATTTCATATTGAATTTTTGTGATTGTGACAGAGGGAAGTGGGGTTGATTCTTCTGATGAGCACGATGGGCTGGATCCCTCAGACGATGACGACGATGCATTCTTTGATACATGTGAAATTCTATCAACATGCCATGATTTTGAGCATGAGGAGACTAATCCAAATGGGAAATGTGATGAAAAGTCACCTATTGGATCTGTTGGATTTAACTATCCTCATATCAAGCGACGGAAGAAGTTGCCTGATCCTGTTGAAAAAGAGAGCAGCGTCAGTCTATGGTCAATCATAAAAGATAATATCGGGAAGGATCTTACAAAAGTTTGTCTTCCAGTTTACTTTAACGAGCCACTCTCCTCACTGCAGAAATGTTTTGAAGATGTTGAGTACTCTTACCTACTAGACCAAGCATACGAGTGGGGTAAAATGGTTAGTTTAATTAATCATATTTGTTAAATCTTGTTATTTAGTAAATAATTCATAGTTAATGTCATAATTCAGTAATTGTTGTATCCCCAATCAAGTTTGAGGAGCTGTTTGTTTTGTGCTAGATTTGTCACATGCATGATACTTATTTGTGCACAGGGTAATGGTCTAATGAGGATGATACATGTAGCTGCATTTGCAGCTTCAGGGTATGCAAGCACCGAGGGTAGAGGTTGCAAACCATTTAATCCAATGTTGGGAGAGACATATGAAGCAGATTATCCAGACAAAGGCATTCGCTTTATCTCTGAGAAGGTACAATTGTATATCGGTGTCATTATGTTGGTGAAAAACGCCACATGTAGTACACGTCCATTCTACTTGGAACGTTTGTTTTGCTGAAAGGGAACCAATCATGCCATGATGGCACAGATGATATATACAATTTTTAAGAATCCTTTTTTCTTAGAAATATGAATAAATAATATGTGCCACGATCTAAAACCCTACATTAATGCCTCACTTTACCATTTCATCCTAAAACAATGTCTCTCTTACAACATTTGTGAGGCTGATATTTTCGTTCATATAATTCCAATCCATTCATTTTGAATCCTTCATGATAATAGGCCATATAATTCAATAACTTGGTTTGCCATTTTTTCTTGTGAAAAGTGCTAGTGGTTTGAAGAAAGATACTTACGCTATTCATTTTGAGATAGGTCAGTCATCACCCCATGATTGTAGCATGCCATTGCGAGGGCAGGGGCTGGAAATTTTGGGGTGACATCAATTTAAAAAGTAAATTTTGGGGTCGTTCAATCCAGATTGATCCTGTTGGTATATTGACCGTGGAATTTGATGACGGAGAAGTCGTTCGTTGGAGCAAGGTATATATAGTTTTTGCAAGAAGTTAATTAGTAATACCAGTACTCATCAATCTTTTCCAAGATACACTCTGAACATTTTGCTAATTCATATTCTATCCCCAGGTAACAACATCCATTTACAACCTCATTTTAGGAAAACTCTACTGCGACCATTATGGTACAATGCGCCTGGAGGGGAACAGGGACTATTTATGTAAGATCAAATTCAAGGAACAGTCATTTCTTGATAGGAATCCTCACCAGGTGCTCTTTCTCATATCTTAGATTTATGATTTTTATTTGGGTTCTTTTTTAGGTGATGTATTGGTCAAAATGTGTCATATTTTCTCGTACTGTGAGGCGTGCCACTTGTGGCTTTTGGACAAAAAGGCTTTTCAAGTAGGAGCATTATATCAGTATGATATTTTGTTCACACTGAACCTAGTAATTAATTTATTATAGCTAGTTACTAGTCTAGTAATTGCCAACCTATGCTTCCTTGTTCTCCTTCTCCTCTCCAACTTTCCTACTTGTTTTTATCATCAGGAATCTTTAGGGATTGACGAAGAGAGTATAATACTTGGAGGGTTTTGAAGGAAACATTTAATTGATACACTTACCTCTGAAAGAATTCTCTGTAGAATGGAAGTCGAAAAGAAAATGACACGAGTGAAAAGTAAAATATTTATTGGGATTGGAAACCCCAACAGTACAAAAAGATAAAAATTATACATGGTTTTTGACTTCAATCTTATATTGTTTGTTGTAGATGATAATTGCAGTAGGAATTAAAACGAGTGAAGTAATTTTACTTACAGAAGTACAGTCCATAGATATATTTTGTAACTTATGCTTTGTAATTTAAGTTCTGCTGCAGATTCACGGCATAGTGGAAGATAAGAAAGGTAAAACAGTGGCAAACATATTTGGGAAGTGGGATGAGAGTTTGCACTACGTAATTGGAGGGAGTTCTGGGAAAGGAAAAGGGTCCAATGAGTCATCAAAACCACATCTTTTGTGGAAGAGGAGTCCGGCACCAGAGCACCAGACAAGATATAACTTCACACAATTTGCTATTACACTGAATGAAATCACACCTGGACTAAAGGTGAGTATGAAATCACACAATTGCACATTGAAATTCACAAGACTAAATTTTCTGATTTTAATCCAAACATAATAGACATCCAAACACACAATAACATGTAGGGTAACGTGATTTTAAATATATATTCACATGTTTATTTTCCATTTTAAAGAATTGATTATACCTGAAAATTTATAGGAAACAATAATGCAGTTTAATGGAAAAGTACGAAAGCTATAACTATTGACTTAAGGTTAAACATGGAAAATCACATCAATAACGAGCAACCAAACAGTAATTTTTGCAGAATCAGTTTCACTTTATTTTATTTTATTTTTTTGCAAATACTCTGTCAAACACACATTAAATCTTATGTTTTGGTTAGTACATAGTTTTGACATTTTGTGTTAACAAACAGGAGAAGCTGCCACCGACAGATTCAAGGCTAAGACCTGATCAAAGGTGTTTGGAGAATGGACAGCATGAAATGGCCAATGCTGAAAAGTTGAGGCTGGAACAAAGACAGCGGCAGGTACAATTGTTGCATCGTTGGACCCTGTCTTGTAATGAAATACATTATGTTATGCTGGTTAATGTGCTCGCATTCATTAACTAACAAGAACCTCACCATAATTGCAGGCACGAAAGATGCAAGAAAAGGGTTGGAAACCAAGGTGGTTTGCTAAGGAAAAAGGCAGCAACTCCTACCGTTATGTTGGAGGGTACTGGGAGACCAGGGAAAAGGGGAACTGGGAATCTTGTCCTGACATATTTGGCCAAGTCCCAACCGATGATTGTAACTCAACTCCATAAATTCTCACCTCTTTTACCACAGATTCCTACCTACTCCCCCTACCACCACACCCTTTTCATCAAAATATACATTCAAAACCATATTTATGATCATTACTTTTTTTAGCATTCAACGAATATGGTTGATTAATTGCCTGTTGTGTATAGGTATACATGTACATAATAAACAGTGGTTCTCACTTCTTCCCAACAAGGCAACTTCCCATTTCCCTATTCCGACTGGCAACAACAACAACTTTTCTTGCTGTCAGATGCTTATTTCAAAGTTGGATTTAGAAGGGATAGCTTTGTATGAAAGTCATAGTTGATATACTAATCATTTCAATGTCACAACACTCCACAATGTGGCAAAGAAGGAAAACTACTATTAAATGAACATGCACCTATTTTAATGTTTCTTCTGATTATCCGTTGAAGCATGTTTAACTGTTTACACACGTTAATTCCAACTTGGTGCAACAAGTTTTTGACAATGCTTTGCTTTTGTCAAATTAAATTTAGTAAGTAGTCCACCACGAGAGACAGAAAAATGCTGCGCGTGCATGAGAAATCCCAATTGATTAGAATCTTGTATGAGTTTATCGCTTTTATTCAATGGATAGATGGAGTAGTTGTGGGAAAATTCTTGTTGATGAGTAATAAGAAACAAGAGAAAAATAATATGTAGCAGCTGCTAAAAGATTAAACTGCCATGCCCGTGATCCTCGAGATTGTTGAGATCAGAACATGTCAATGAAACAAATGGAATTTTCACATGACTGAGGTGTGAGGACAAGTAACAAAAAGTGAAGAGTGGGGGGCAAGGATGCTTCCACTTGTCCATATCAAGTCTAGTCCAAGCTTTTGATAGTGAAAAATAAACATTTGTAAAGCCAAATCTTTCACCAAACATATATATATATATATATATATATATATATACTTAATGGGAGATAGGTTTAAAGAGGACGCCACGTTCATTTAAAAAAAAAATTACTTGTAACTAACCGTCAAACCCTTTGAGAATGACAATTGTTAAATTGTCAGCATTATGAGTTAGGGTTGTTGACAACAAATACTGAAAATATAACAAAAATGGTTTAAGAATGTTGACCAGTCCAAATTTAAATCTCAGATTTAAAATAATAATTTGAAAATATTCAAGAAAAATAAATCCTTAATTATGTCTCAAAGGACTATGATTTTGAATCTTGATGATATATTAAAATATGGAATAAATCATGTTAGAAAAAAAATATTCACATTAATGCATTCAAGGTCCTAATAATATTAGTTATTATTTGTTTACAATGATAAATAAATCGTGACTTGACTTTATGAAAAAATTTAAAAAATACAAAGCAAGACCAAAAAACTTGTAAAGATTGTAATAAAGGTCTCCAAATTGCATTTTTATCATTTCAAACGTGTTTTTATTTCTTTTCAGATAAGCATACAATAATTGAGCTATGAATAAACCTACAAAATTGATCCTAAATTGTCATGTTTTCCGATGAATTTAAAATAGCATAGATTTTTTTTTAAATGTTGTTACATAATTATTTTTAAAAGAGCTAAAGAATTAATCCATTGAATTGCCAAAATTCATTCAAGGGAAAACTCTTTTCAAGAGACAAAATTATAGGTTAACCATTCTATGTCATCATATTAGTGTTGTGGAATATAATTAAGAATCATGTCAAGCATGTTCAATTTAAAAAAATAAATAAGAAAGACATATATATATATATATATATATATATATATATAATAATAAAATATAGCTTGGCTTTAAATAAACAATTTTTTTTATCCATCAAAAATAGTTTAAAAAAAAAGAACTCATACTTGTAGTGTCAAGGAAAATGACAAGATTCATGCAAAATTTAAAGGAATTTTGCACCAATATTGACTTTAACATTAGTTTTAGAATTTCATTTATTTTTTACAAGCATTTGCAGAAAAAGAATTTCAAAAGAATTCTCTTGTATTTCTTTTGAAATTAAAATTTTGAGGGCAAGAGCAACATTATTGGGATTATTTGAAAAGAATTTACATGTTATAAGTTTAACGTTCTACAAAAAGTAGCATTTGAAATATAAGATAACGTTGTTTGAATCTGAAAAGTAATTGTCTATAAACAAAACATAAAATATTGTTGAATAATGAGTTAATGGATAAAAAGTGAAGCAATTGTGGAATACATTTAAGAAGACATGGTATGTCGTCAACTGTCCCCTCTTCTCCTCCGATCCAAGTGATTGATTAAGGAAAAAAGTGCTTATTTGATCGCATTATTTTATTTTTTGGGGGTTTCAAAGTAAAATCGTAATTTTTATTCCATTACGTCTTGTTTGGTTAGTTGATACCATAATTCAGTTTCTTGAGTTTGAGGCCACCTTGTGTCTTGGCCCAGAAATCATTGCAACAAAAATGGAAGATGATGTTTTCTTTAGCCAACAATTATCACAATCAAATATCAAATCATATTTGTAAAGTTGTTAAATAAATGTAATTTTTTATATTCTTCCAGCTTTTAACATTTTTTTCCTTGAATATTTTATGATGGCATTTATAATAATATATAAAATATTTTTTTAATTTTTTAATTACCACTTAATATTTTATCTTACATATTTCTTTTAATTTATCTAATATAACTAATAAAAATATCATTTTTTTACCTCTTGAAATATCTTCAAATACACGTTCTTGATCATTTTCTCTCTTTTTAAAATATCTTAATATTATATATTATTTTCCATTTTTTTATCTTAAAAATATTTTTAAAGAAAATTATTTAAAATTATAATTAAAAATAAATATTTTTTTATAAATCTTATCCATAAATTACTTAAAAGTGATTAAAATTGTATATATATAAATAATTTTTTTATAATTTTAAATAATTTTTTTCATTTTAATATATAATAAAAAATCATTTTTATTCTTAAATTCTTGTTAGTAACTCTTCTTGAATACTACTTTAAAATATATATATATATAAAAGTCATATATTAAAATTTAAAATTAATTAAAATCATCATAATGTACGATTCTTTAATTAGTTTTTCGATAAATATTGCTTAATATACTAAATAGTTATAATTAATTAAAACATGTTAGAAACCTGTTATTGTAAGGGTAAATAAATTAGACATGAAAATTAAACTTATATTTAGAAAAAACGATATGTTTTCGTCTTCAATTTAATGAAGAAAAATTAGATTAAGCGTGAGTATGGATTCAAACTTTTTTCTTTCGTTTTTTAAAAGTCGAGAAAAAAAATTTAATTTTTATTCGTCTTATCTTAAATTTATATTTATATTTAAATATTAATTTTTAAAATATTAATTTTTTTATTATAATATATAAAATCATTTATTTTATATAAATATTTTAATATAAATATAATAAATTAAAGTATATATTTTAATTAATAATTAAAAATTATAAATATTTATTTATATATAAAAAATATACATAAAAAATATTAAAATTAATTTATTATAAATATAATTATTTTTTTGAAATAATACAGAATATATAATTATTTTTTTGAAATAATACATGCTATGACGGAATGAGGAAATCCAGAATCTAACAAAAATAAAGATAAAAAATTATTTTGAAATTCCCAGAAATAAGAGAAAAAAAAAGTCAAAGACAGAGAGATAAAACCCTTCCCAACCCACCGTTGTCATGACTAATTTTGTTTTCTCTATTTTATATTAGTGTTATTTAAGAGAAAATATATATTATTTTCAAAGGTCATTTGCCTCTTGCAGATTGCAAAGTTCAGAATAGTAGGTCAATTAAAATGTTTTCTATTGCATTATAATACATTAAGAATTTGAGGTCAAACTCTTACATAGACCACCAAATTTTCTGCCAATAAAACCTAAATAAAAATTCCTAACATGAAAACACGTTTTAAGATATGATTCTCAACCTTTCGAATGTCCTCTTTAATAGCACATAATTTTGGTTTTACATATAATTATGAAGTTAATTATATTATTATCAATGTATTTTTAAAATAATTACAACTTGATTTTACATAGAGATGTTTGTAATATGTTAATCTATATTTCCACCCATCTAAGTTAATTAATTTTGTAGAGGTGAACACATGAGACGTGATAATGTTTAAAACAAGATTTGGTCAATGTGCTAATTTTAACATTATATATAAACTTGATTGGAGATCTAAAGAAATATATAGTTAAATAAATTATTTTATTTTATTAATTTTCTCTTTATTTTAGAATTCAAAATTTTAAGTTCTCCAATATTCAATCACATTTGAATATAACTGTATGATTTTGAATTGAAAACAAAAATCTTTGAAAAAAATAAAATGAATTTATGAATAATTATGTATTTAAATATTTTATTATTTATGACTATATATAAAAGAGATTATCTCTTGTAATCGTTTTTTTGTTATTATAAAAAATCATAATTTTAAAAAATAATTATTATAATTTATATATTTAAAAAATAATAAAAACATAAGAGGAAACATATAATAAATAATTAATAAAAAGTATATATTTAAATATAAGAGAGAAAATAAAATAATATTGAACTAATTATACAATAAATATGTGCAGAGAGGTTTTATCTCACTAGTTAAATATAATAAACAACACCTAACTAATTATACTGATAAATAATGTTTAAATAAGCATTTAATAAATCAATCAACAAATGTATGAAAAATCTAACAAAATTATATTTTTACAATTTTAATAAAAATAAAAATCAACAATACTTATTATATAAAAAAAATACAAAATGAATGCGTCATTAATAATTAAAGTCATAAAATTTCCATCAATATTTGATGAAATAATTAAAAATTAAAGTGGACACAGCATGCATGTGATTTGGTGTGATGCATCCTACAAATCACATTTTGGTTCATCTCATTCGTAGTAAATGTTTAAATAGTATGGTGAGACAAACTCACCAACACATTTCATTCCATAGCTTTCTTCAAGTTTCATCTTCTCCCACCATTTTTCTTCATCCAACCCAAAATAAAATTTCACAAACACATTCCATGATACGTCACGCCAACTATTTCACTTCTTCTAATCCAAACAATTAATTTAATATTTTCAATAGTCTTCCATTAACAATCACTTTCACAATGCATCTCAACTTCCATTCGACCCCTGGTGCTTTCACCCTTTCACTTCCATGCCAAATTGTCAATAATAAAAAAATAAAACCAAAAACCAAACAAAGAACATGTCTTGGTCTTACCTTACAAGGTAAATAAAGTAGGTAGTAAAACAACATTTCATTCTATGTTCAATAAAGTAAGTAGTTAATAACATAATCTACCATCAAAATTACAAAATAACATAAACTGTTCAGTATTAAGCATGATATGATTTTGATAGAACGTGGTGTAATCTTAAACCAAAACATTTACGTTAACCGCTACAAAAATTAGAGTGGAATCAATACATAATTCAAATGCGAAAAACGAAACAACATTAGGAAAACCAAAAGCAAGACCAAAACAACAGAAAAGCTAATGCACATGTTTGGTATAGAAATTAAAGTGGAGAAGAAGAACAGAGTAGTGCTCCTTCGTTTGGCGCCTGCTATGGCAATGTTCCCTAGGCCATAACCATAACCATAACATAACCACTTTCTTTCTCTCTCTCTCTCTTACTTCTCAGGTTATTTGTTTCTCTTTTCCCAAGGCATTTCCCAAGGCACTGTTACAACTCACTTCTCTCTCTCTTTCTCTTTCTATAATCTCTCCCATTTGTTCCAACACCACCATCATTATTACCGTTAGCGATTACGCAAACGGCTTTTGAAATGTGACGCTCTCTTCAGAGCTTCTTCAAAATGCAAGAGACGCTGCTCACACTCTCGGAGCAACAAGAGGACAACAATACTACCACCAAGGACATCGAGCTTCTCCTCCCGTCGCCGCCGTGCCGCCGTCCCCCTCGGACGCGCCGCGTGTCTCCTGGCGCGGTGGAGAGGGCGCTTCCCAACGGGGACATCTACAGCGGCAGCCTCTCGGGAAACGCGCCGCACGGCAGCGGCAAGTATCTCTGGTCGGACGGGTGCATGTACGAGGGGGAGTGGAGGAAGGGCAAGGCTTGCGGCAAGGGGCGTTTCTCCTGGCCCTCCGGCGCCACCTACGAGGGCGAGTTCTCCGCCGGTCGGATGCACGGCCATGGTACATTCGTCGGCGTTGACGGCGACACGTACCGAGGCGCGTGGCTCTCCGACCGGAAGCACGGGTTTGGGGAAAAGCGGTATGCCAACAGCGACGTGTACGAGGGGTGGTGGCGGTGCAACCTGCAGGAGGGGGAGGGGAGGTACACGTGGCGCAACGGGAACGAGTATGTTGGGGAGTGGAAGAACGGTGCCATCTCCGGGAAGGGTGTGTTGGTGTGGAAGAACGGGAACCGTTACGAGGGGTGTTGGGAGAACGGTGTTCCGAAAGGGAGAGGCGTGTTCACGTGGCGCGATGGGAGCACCTCCACTGGGAATTGGGGGAAGGAGTTTGTCAATGAGAAACGTGTGTCGGTGGATGAGTGTTTCAACAACAATAACAACAACAACAAGAGTGTGAGTTTTCCCAGGATTTGCATTTGGGAGCTTGATGGTGAGGCTGGGGATATCACTTGTGACATTGTGGAGGCTTCTATGTTTTATGGTGGTGGAGGGTGTGAAAGTGGTGGAGGAGGAGCAGGGTGCGAGAGTGATGTGCAGTTGCAGAGGAGTCCTTGTGGTTCTGTTGATGGCGATATTAAGAAACCTGGTCATACTGTTTCCAAAGGCCATAAGAATTATGATTTGATGCTTAATCTTCAACTGGGTATTAGGTATTTAACTTTAATTTTAGCTACATTTGTTGTTTAATTTAAGTCCATACATCGTACATCATCATACATCCATTTGAGGACTAAGTTGTCTTTGTTTAGATACTCTGTTGGAAAGCATGCTTCGGTTTTCCAAGAGCTTAGACCTGGAGATTTTGATCCCAAGGAGAAGTTCTGGACGAGGTTCCCTCCGGAGGGGTCTAAGTTTACACCTCCTCATCAGTCTGTGGACTTTAGGTGGAAAGATTACTGTCCTGTGGTGTTCAGGTATGCCCTAATGGCCATTTATTTTTCTTCTGTGAACTTTATTTGATTGGTGTTGTGGTTACTAATTATGGCTATGTCTTGGTGGGTATTTAGACATCTAAGGGAATTGTTCGGAATAGATCCTGCGGATTACATGCTTGCTATTTGTGGCAATGACACACTAAGGGAGATGTCATCTCCTGGAAAAAGTGGAAGCTTCTTTTACCTTACTCAGGACGACCGGTTCATTATCAAAACCTTGAAGAAGTCTGAAGTCAAGGTTAGTTGCTAGCCTTAACTAGACTTTAAGATGCATTCAATTTGATGAGCAAAAAAACCATAAAACCTATATTTAGTAAGGTGAGGTCTCACTTTCAGCTCTTGCCCACCGTCCTTTTTATCTTTGAGTATTCATCATTCAATAATTAGTTGGTGACCATGTCAGGTGCTCATCAGGATGCTTCCGAGTTACTATCAACATGTGCGTCAGTACAAGAATTCACTGGTAACAAAATTTCTAGGGGTTCACTGTGTCAAGCCTATTGGATGTCAGAAGGTATGTATGAACGTATCTTATGTGTATTTTGCTTGTAATAAATTAGAGTGAGATGAACACTTATATATATTTCTATGAAAAACAGACTCGTTTTATTGTGATGGGTAATGTATTCTCTTCGGAGTATCGGATCCAGAAACGATTTGACCTCAAAGGTTCTTCTCATGGTCGTATAACATATAAGCCGCCGGAGGAGATTGACGAGACCACAACTCTTAAAGACCTTGATCTTTGTTTTGTCTTCCGCCTAGAACAGTCCTGGTTTCAAGAGCTAAAATGGTACAGAATCTGCTGCCAGGGTTTTACGAATTGTTTTTACTTTGAACAATTTTTATGTTCTAAAAGTTGGTCTTTTTGACGAATTCTGCCCAGGCAACTTGATAGAGACTGTGAATTCCTGGAAGCAGAGGGAATAATGGATTACAGTTTTTTGATTGGCCTTCATTTTCGTGATGATAGCGCAGTTGATGACATGAAGAGTTTAACGAACGAGTTATGTTCAGGTACATGTCTTCTTACTTCCTCCTAGTTCTGTGTCTTCTTTCATTTGAATTAATTGATTGGATCCGAGAGGTAAAAAAATCTGTGGGATTTATGGGTATGGCAGGTAAGAGAGACATGCAAAATGATGAAATACAGGATTTGAAGTTGATACCCATTGGCCGGTATGCCCTTTACCTTTTTATCCACAGTACGTGACTGTTTTTGTTGTTTCATCATGATGAATAAATTCCTATGAAGTATGGAAACGATCAGAAATGATTGTCCTCGAATTTTTCATTTATATCCCCAAAAAAGGACAATATTTGGGGGTTTTAGAGATCTTTGTGCAGTTCTATTATCAGCTTGAGCGGTTCTGTGGATTCCAACCCTTCATTTCTTGAAGATGAACCATTCCAAGTCAATTAACGGAATTCGCTTCGGTTAAACGATGGACCATTCTAAGTTGCAAGATTTTATTACCAGAGATGGTTTAGTGGCAATATTCCTTTATTGGTCTCTTGACACTTACATCCATTGGTAGCCATAGCTTTCACTTCTATGATTTACTTGCATGCATGTGCCATGTTCTTGAGCCTTAGTTTGCCTGGACCCAGTTATAAAACAAACAGAAGCAAAATGCTTCTGTCTTAAACTGTCAATATGGCCCATACGCATGCAAATAGGTAAGTCCATATGTCCACAAAGTCATGCAGAAACAAAGCAATTGCAAATAAATTAGCCTCTCTCCATTTGTGATTTATGAGTAGGTTGCTTGCTAGTTATCTCCTTTTGGAATATGATTCTGTTAGTGGAGATGGACCGAAAATGACTTGAGTTATCATGGCAAAATTGTTGAGGTAGCTCTATTGACAACAAATGCTGGTGGGGTCGTTTGATATTTCTGAGAAGAGCAAAACCTTATTTGCAAAGCTAATTGTTAGTTGACTCGTGATTGTGAAATTGATTGCTGTTAGGATTTGAAGCTTAAATGACATATTTGCGTGTGCCGATAACATAAAAATACACAAGTTTTTTTTTCTCCTAAACTATAGGTACCGGTTGGTTTCCACTTTTATGATTTAGTCTAATAAACTGAACTACTAATTCCTTATTAATTAATTTAATGTACAAATTTTAGGGTTCTCTCTCCCTGGCGGTTGGTTTATATCCCAAGTATGCAAATATTTGATTTGAATTCTAATTCTAATATATACATAAATAATGGGTGATTTTTTATATTCCAGGGGACCTCTAATTAGACTGGGAACAAACATGCCTGCCAGAGCAGAGAGAGTGTGTAAAGCTGGATTGGATCAGAACACTGGTACTGGAAGTAGCAATTCTACCCCTTCAGAGAGTGGTGGTGAGGTCTCTGATGTAATCCTCTACTTTGGTATAATTGACATTCTCCAAGATTATGATATAAGCAAAAAGCTAGAGCATGCATACAAGTCGCTGCAAGTGGATCCCTCCTCCATCTCAGCCGTTGATCCCAAGCTATACTCCAAAAGGTTTAGGGATTTCATTCACAGAATCTTTGTGGAGGACAAATGATAGATATACTTGGACAGAGACAATTGGAACTGAAACGGGACCAACTTTGGCGTGGTGACACCTTAGCATCAGGATCAGGACATGTCAGTGAATGCTGCAAACGTTGGCGATTTAAAGTTTGAACAGAGCTGTTGGTGTTAAAATTAAATACAAGGCTCGGAAAGGGGAGGCCTTGGTAGTTGATGGCTAAATTTTTCTCATAGCCATTGCAAATGGACTGAACAGTGAAACCTGGTTGGTAGATGATGGACACGGCAGGGGATGCTTTATTTTTATTTATTTTTTTCTTTTTATTGAGGGGAGATATTGTGACAATAGTTGGTTGTACATGTAAAATGCATCACAGGGCATGTGATGAGAGAGAGAGATTATTTTTTGATGACTTTTGTTGTGGTGGTGGAGAGAAGGGTATAGGGAATAGAAAAATGGGTATGGAGGGATTCATATTTGACCGGGGTGGGGGGGTTAAATAACTGTACAGACAGTCAAAGATGGATAAAGGAATTGAATTGAGTGAACATACATTTTTGGTTGGCGAGATCAAAAAGAGAAGGTTTGCCTGTTGAGCAAGAAAGAAAAGTTCCCACAGCGGACCCCTCTGTCTCACTCTCTTTCTCTGCGCTATGCATTCAAATGGGTGTTTTCACTTTTGCAGTGAACAAGGCATAAAAAGAAGAGAAAAGCACAAGAAAGAAAGAGTTGGTTGTTTCCTTGGTTCATGTTCTTTCTTTGTCACTCTATAAACGAAGTTTGAAAAAGCAGAATAACAATAATACAAGAGTGTGTCCTTTTTGCTTCTTTTGAACAATACCAAGAAGCATACAACTCGACAAAGCAATAAATTCGGGCACGTAGTGTGAACCTGTTTGGTTTTGAGAGCGATAGCTATCTATCCATGCATGTTGTGCCACCCCATATTTTAATAAGTGAAAATAATGAAACTTTAACCTGTACGTGGGTTCGTGTCTGCATAATTATTGGTAAAGTCAAATTATTTCTTCTCACATCTAATATTAAAGTGAAGTAATTTATGAATGTTTACTAAAAATTATGGTGGTATAGTTTGAAACGACGCAAGATGAGAAGAGGAAGGGTCTTGAATCTAACCCTCCTAGACAGTGGTAGAAACTAGAAATGAAAAAAAGAAGAGGACAAAAAAAGTAGGCTATTTAAGTAATGGACTGTTGAGCGATCCTGCGTTGCTTTGCCTGTTATGATCCTGAATCTGGCAGGGCTTGTTTTGTAGTTGGAGTGAGTGATGGTGTCTCCTTGCATGGAATATAGTGAACTTTTATTTCTTCTGCAAAACTATACTAAACTTTACCAGACCCAGGCGACCAATAACTTTACCCCATCAACTAAAATTCCCCCTGCATAACACTGATATCAATATATGCTATTTTTTATTTATCTCTTATTATTATATTACTCATTATATATACAATTTGCTTCACTTTCTGTTTCTCTAAGAATTATATAAATGGTATTTATTATTGGATCGATGACAATTATAGTTTTATGACTGAAATTAGTCTAATTTAGCAAACAGAAATGATATTCAATATTCTTCTTTAACTAATATATTACCAATATTTTTGTTCCATTTCATGTGAATTTTGCTTCCTGTCTAATGTTATTAAATACTTGAAGTTCAATATTCACATAAGGGTTCATTTGCTCAAACAACGTCAAGATCGTGTTGAAACACTTTGGGTGTATGGCTTTTGTGAATAATTAATAGCAGTAGAACAAAATTACTTTATTCACGAGAGATCTTACATTATGTGTCAGAAAATAAGTTAATATCATATTCTTGTAAATATGAGATATTTTTAAGATGATAAATGTAAAATTTTTGACACCAAAAATAGACCCTAAATAAACACATTTGAATATATTTTCAGGACAAACAATTTTGTTTTTTACTTTTTCAAAATTGCAGCATAATCATGAGCACAACTCACGCTGTTGTGAGTAGTGACAGAGATACAAACACTACCAGTGGATCTGATTGATTTTGTAAAATGTGAAATGAAGCAGAAAAACGAAATAAAAACAATTAACAACACATCATTGAAAAATGGAATAACCAGTACGAGCAAAATCCTCTTTTGTGATGGTTTCAAGGAAGAAACAAATGAGGGGATAAATAGTGACACAGCAGCAACAGCAAATCAAACAATTGACAACACAAAGGAATATGTTGACACATAGACACAACAGAGACGTGAAGCCGCAGAAACGAGTATCTTTCAAACATAACGTCACATTCAGATTTTATTATGGAACAATTATGAGAGTTATGTGTTTGTAATCAAGTTTTCAAAATCACATATGAATGTTATTTAACATTAATTGCAAAATAAAAAATCAAAATAACTGGAAAAAAGTACAGATAAATTGTTGCAAAGGAATGTGACATGCTGGTGGAGGAAATTCATTTTTTTTTCTCTAAAGAGCATACCCACCTAGAGTGGCGCAGGAGTCACACACATAATCAACACCACACACATGCAATGATTTGTATCCTTGTGGAGTCCTTTGTGAAGGTACAATAATTTTTCCCTGTAAACATGCACGAAAGACTCCAACTTAGCCTAACTCAACAAACAATCACACGTGACGTGTAGAAAATTTGGTGTGAATTTGGAAGCATTTAATGCAGTGTAGTTTGTATCAGAGTTGAAGAGAAAGTTGAAATCTCATGCAAAGAAACCGAAAACTTAAGGAAGAGAGATCACAAATATAATATTTTTAATTTTGAGATAGAAGACGATGTTATATTATTTTATATGATTGATTTATAGTGTTATTATAAGTTTATTATATTATTTTATTCATAAATATTCAATAATATATATATATATATATATATATATATATATATAATTTTTTTTGATAATTTATTTTTGAATAGTTATGTTATTCAAATCATCTAGAAATAAAATTTTAGGATTTTTTTGGAAAAAATTAGAAAAACGAAAAACGAGGTACGGAAAGAAAAGAAGAAAGTGTTAAAGTGCAAATTGAATTGTCGTTGAAGAAATGACTTAGCTGGGTAGGATGAAATTGGGTCGAGTTGGGCCATGTATTTAGGACCTAGCCCATATTAACAGGCCTGTTTAAACGGATCCAGCCCAATAGCGGGTACGTAAGTTAAGTTAAGCTCGGGTTCCATTGGCAACAGTGCAATAGAGTCACACTTTCAATGGCCGCAGAAATTTGTGGCGCGTCTCTATTCTTATCCGTTAAAACTCAACTGCAACAACGACACCACCATCAACGCGCGTTCTTCCATGCTCATCGAAGCAGCACAAGAAGAGCCACTTCCAGATTCCACTCATCCAGAGGCTGCTTAAGTTCCGGCTTTCTAAATGCTTCCACTTTTAGCCGCGGCGTTGTGTGCCAGGTCGCCAGCTCCGATTTCGAATCCGCCGCCAAAGCCGGCGAGCATCGTCTCTCTAAGGTATCTCCATTCGTTGCTTTTTCTCGTGTTTTCCCCAAATTGCCCCTCATTCGTAGCTGTAAACTTGCTTGTTTTGGTTTTGGTTCTGGATTTAGGTGCCGGTGCGTAATATAAGGAACTTCAGCATCATTGCGCATATTGACCACGGGAAATCGACGTTGGCGGATAAGTTGCTTCAGGTTACTGGCACGGTGCACCAGCGAGAGATGAAGGATCAGTTTCTCGATAACATGGATTTGGAGAGAGAACGAGGCATCACTATTAAGCTCCAGGTTCCACCATTTCCTAATCCCGTATTATATTATCTTAATTAATATTTTGTGATAGATAGGGAAATGTGCTTTTCGAGTTTTTTTAGATGTTAAGATATTTGAGAAGGTATTTGAACTGATTTTGATCATGGCAGGCAGCTCGAATGCGTTATGTGTTTGAAAATGAACCTTATTGCTTGAATCTAATCGATACACCGGGGCATGTCGACTTCTCGTATGAGGTATGTAATGTAGTTATACATATTTGCTAACTGCCTAACTGTTATATGCGTCTTTATCTTGTATTGTTTGCAGCAGTCTTGTCTCGTTTCATTTCTTTCTCCTTCAAACTTAGGAGCTATATGTAAAACCTATATGAACATGGAACAGAGAAACTTACTTAACCTACTTGTTTGTCTTGTCAACTTTCATCAAGTAGTAGTTTCAAGAATTTTTATAGGCATGAATAGTGAGCTTTTGAAAATAAACTATTTTTGTTTCATACATGAAACAGAAAACAGTGGACGGCTAACAATGTGGGTGGCATTCTATTTGATCCCCTCTTTCTTTCTCATTATCTGTCAACTTTTAAGAAGCCACGTCTTTATTTTTTTTTTCTACCTAATAATGCGAACAAAAACTGCATTAAAATGTAAAATAAAACTCTAAATCAACCACATTTTAGAATTTTCATTTGGTCTTTCTGAATGCTATTTCCCGTTCAATTGAGTTAATACAATAATATGATTGTGACTAATCTCATCTGTGGCCAGGTTTCTCGGTCACTTGCTGCATGTGAGGGTGCTCTTCTAGTAGTAGATGCTTCTCAGGTGAATCTCTATGCTTCTATGCTCTTCTTTCCATTCTGATTTTGTATCCTTTATCTTGTGAGGGTGATCTTCTTTTAGTAATTCTGGTTTTATGCTTTTGCCAAAAATTGCTTTCAAATCACAGGGTGTTGAAGCACAAACACTAGCTAATGTTTATTTGGCTTTGGAGAACAACCTAGAAATTATCCCTGTAAGTATGTTATTTCTATTATTCTAATCTAAAGTTATATATTTAATTTTTATTTTAATTTACTGAGATACTTATTATCCTTTATTGATGGTATTTTTCAATTAATAAACTCAAATATATATTTTTTTTTGGAAAACATGCCATATCATCGAACTTAATAACAGTTGTGTAATTTTTTGGCCACAAATTTGTGGCATGGAATTTTCTCTTTTCAAATTTAGAATGAATTGTTTTTATCTTGTTTTTCACCACTTTTCTCAAGT